GTTCTTACAATACACTTTACATTCAAAACCATTGTCGCCATGACGTACCAAGGTGTCAAGGGAAGTGAAGTCGATGTTCTTACAATACACTTTACATTCAAAACCATTGTCGCCATGACGTACCAAGGTGTCAAGGGAAGTGAAGTCGATGTTCTTACGATACACTTTACATTCAAAACCATTGTCGCTATTACGTATCAAGGGAAGTGAAGTCGATGTCTTCTTACGATACACTTTACATTCAAAACCATTATCGCCATGACGTACCAATGTGTCAAGGGAAGTGAAGTTGATGTTCTTACGATACACTTTACATTCAAAACCATTGTCGCCATTACGTACCAATGTGTCAAGGGAAGTGAAGTCGATGTTCTTACGATACACTTTACATTCAAAACCATTGTCGCCATGACGTACCAATGTATCAAGGGAAGTGAAGTCGATGTTCTTACAATACACTTTACATTCAAAACCATTGTCGCCATGACGTACCAATGTACTTTCTAACGCAACAGATAACATACCATATTTAACTACATTACAGTTGAATAAACAAAATGAATACATCATAATGAAATTAAATATCATCCACACAAGATGTCTAAACATCAAAATGACAAAATCAAAACTAAAACTTCCCCCTCCTAAGTAAATGACACCACAATTAAACCAATCTCCTCCGAAAAATAAAGCTTATAGAATAAGTTAACTTACACTGCATAATGGAAGTTACGTATTATGGTCGTAAGAAATACCTGTGCTGCCTGAAGTGAGCTTTCAAAATATTGGTTCAAATTTATATATATTATTATAATAAATATATATATGCAAGTTTTTGGACTACGACAATTTTAAGTTTTTGAGATACTTCAAATATTCTAACGTATCTCAATAATAATAATAATCCATATATCGTTATTACAAATCTTGTTACTAAACCAGTAATTTTGAATGTAAAGTGTATTGTAAGAACATCGACTTCACTTCCCTTGACACTGTTGTTATTACGTACCAATGTATCAAGGAAGGGAAGTTGGTGTTCTTATGATACACTACACATTTAAACCACTGTTGTTATTACGTACCAATGTATCAAGGAAGGGAATTTGGTGTTCTTATGATACACTACACATTTAAACCATTGTTGTTATTACGTACCAATATACATTAAATCTTATATTTTTATGTTGATTTTTAAGATTTAACAAATCTTAATATATTAAATGTATCATCAATATACACATCTTCGGCAGTATGAATGTTCAAAGGACATTTTTTCCAACCATTGCTTTTCATCATATCAAAGGAACAAGTTAAGCAAGGGATAAGGTGCTAATGTTGATCTCATTGCCATCACATCAACTTAATTATACATACTGGTTGTATTTGTTTATTTTATGATGAAGCCAGATTGGGCTATCTGTTGTCTCCACCGTGGGGAATAGGACCCCGGATTTTAGCGTTGCAAGTCCTTAGACTTACCGCAGTCCCACCGGGAAATATAAATAGTAGCTGAAATATTCGTACAACGCCCGGGTAGACCTTTACGTCACATCCAGGCGGTGAAAATCGGTCAAGTAGTATGCCAGTTATTTGCGAACACATACTCACACACACACACACACACACACAGATACTTTTGTCAAATAATAATTTAAAGATAATCCGTATAATCATAAGAACTATTCCGTTAACTTTATCTGGTTTTTATATAACTCTTTTATCAGTTGTACTTCAGCTTCTTATCGCTATAAACATTGTATGGTTTATATCCATAATTAGAGCCAATAAAACGAAGTGTAGTGCTAGTCATATTAGTGATTCCAGCCAAGATAAACACTGTAATAACTGTATATAGATGCCCGAACTTTTAGCGAAATCTGGCTTTATACGTGTTTCAGGTTACAACATTCAAACAGTGGTAACAAAATATTGATGTTTTTATTATTTGTCTTCTTACACTTTTCGAATATTAAAGTTAGTAAGCTTAAATGGAATAAAACAACGTGTTCAGGTATTAATCACGATAAAATATAGCTACTTTAGTGTAATAAAGAGTTTTGCTAAATAAACAACACAGGTAATAAAAACCTAACCATTTTCAAACAGAAAAAAAAATGCAATTTGCCCAATCGAAACACTTATTTAACAGAAGTGTGTATGTGTGTTAGCTTATAACTGGCGAAGCGTTGGACCGATTGTCACCAAACCTGGTATGTACCCTTATAACATTTGAAATACGATACAGCATTGTTCTTTTTATAACAGTACACTCGCTTAGAAAGATACCTAAATACAATAATTATCTATCAGAGATGAGTTTTGTCTTGAAGCTATGGAAAGAGATCTACCAGAGATGAGTTTTGTCCTGAAGCTATGGAAAGATATCTTTCGGCGATGAGTTTTGTCTTGAAGCTATGGAAAGAGATCTATCAGAGATGAGTTTTGTCCTGAAGCTATGGAAAGAGATCTATCAGAGATGAGTTTGTAACTTCCTATCAGTGTTGGTAAAAAAATGACTCTTGTAATAAACCATTTGAAGCGTAATCCTCTTAACAACAACAACAAACTGTTTTCTCTCTCTATTCACCACTTGTAGAAGAAATGAGTTATTGTCCATGTTCGCATCCCGTTACCGGAAAAAAATGACCACGTTCTGCACTTTCAGGTCATGGGTTATAGGGGTCAGGGGTCACTCAAATTTAAACATACCCTGACCTACGATATTCAACAAGCCCGTGATCACATATACTTCATTTATTATTCATCATTAAATTTCAACGTTTCTTTACACATGTTTCGAACCACCTGTATCAAGAAAGGGAAGTTAGTGTTCTTATGATACACTGCACATTTAAACCGTTGTTGGTATTACATACCAATGTAACAAGAAAAGAAGTTGGTGTTCTTATGATACACTACACATTTAAACCGTTGTTGGTATTACGTTCCAATGTATCAAGGAAGGGAATTTGGTGTTCTTATGATACACTACACATTTAGACCTTCTTTCCATAGCTTCAGGACAAAACTCATCTCTGATAGATCTCTTT